TTTTGTAACATTATAAATGTCTTTACTGACACTTTTGATAAATTTGAAGCTTCCTTGCTGAATAAAAGTATTCATTTCTTGATAAAAAAAAATCGTACTTAGCCTAAACATTAGTAGTTCATATATATTTTTTTAAATATTTAAAGCTGCAGTCCGTAATTTCTTTGTGTTCAAAATTGATATAATAAGCGAGTACACCATGAATCCATTTTCCAAGCCGTGTTTTTGGCTTGTCCTGAATCACTACGGTACACCTATAATAAGTGTTTATATTCGGACTAACTAGAGCCCAGTACCTGCGTGATTCGTCATAGACATAAACAGAGAGAAGTAGCTCCGGATACAATGTTCTTCCTCAAGACGCACGCAGTTCTGTTTATTAACCGCTAGAGCACCAAAAGTTACGGACTGCAGCTTAAATTATTACAACTATTTACCTTCAATGCTTTCATATGGCTTCAGAAGACTTTTTATGATACTGTTATGGTGTTTTATGTCTCTTTTGGGGATTGAACAGTGTGAACATTCTACTAAACATCTCTTTTTGTGTTGCACGAAACAAAGCGAGGCAGATTTGGAAGGACATGAGCGAGTGATGACAGAACGTTCCTTCGCTCTGAACCGTTCCTTTAAAGCTGGGTGTGAGATCTGATGGTTTTTAAGTGTTTTTTTCCCTGTCCTCGGTGGCTTGATGTTTACACAGCGTCCAATTCCTGCCCAGATCTCATCAGGATCTTCCGATTAAAGTGGGTTTCTGCCAGCAGGACGTAATGACTAATGAGAACGACGTCCCAGTTGAGCTGGAATCACACACACACACACACACACACACACGAGCGGAGCGTTTTTACAAACCATGCTAATCGACAGCAGGTCACAGATGATGCACAGAGTTTGATTTAAAGTGTTTTATTGTCTTGTGTGTTTCAGGTGGTGCTTGTCTTCGCTCTGAGCATCGGAGCGCTTGTGATTTACTTCATCGACTCCTCTAAGTAAGTATATGATCATTTGTTGCTGTGCATTTACATACAAGGTTCAAAAATATCCACCAAATTTCACATGCAAGCAATAAAAAAATGCAAAAAATAATAAGTCTCGGTAGTTGACTATATAATACATGCCTTAAATTGAATCTTAAAAGTCTGTTCAAATCAAGCATAAATATTCTGGTCTGGTCGAATAGACCTTTTGACAGCGATTTGGTTTTCATTTAATCTAAAAAAGCTTTTGAAATGAAAGAAATTGATAAAATTTTATTTGATTACATTTTATTTGATTACCATAAAAAATTTGTCACTTGAAATAAAATTAATTTGAACTCATATACATTAAAATGTGTGTGTGTGTGTGTGTGTGTATGTATATACAGTGTTGGGGGTAACTCATTACAAGTAAAGCGAGTTACGTAATCAGATTACGTTTTTCAAGTAACTAGTAAAGTAACGCATTACTTTGTTAATTTACAAGAAAATATCTTGTAATTTTTTCTGGCATTGCTTTCAAAATATTTATGCCAGTTACTTTATTTTCCCGTTTATTGACTGACAGCTCTCCTGTCCCCATATTAGGAGAAATCGGGAGTGCAGAGGCGTTGTGTGCGCTGTGTGAACATGATGTTACTGTAGTTCTAGACTAAATGTGAATGTGCATTAATTCATCCCACTCACAAAAAACAGATTTAGTATTCATCAAAATGAATTAAAACAGTGAAATGCAAACTCAGAATATGACGCAAACCTGCAAAAATTAAATATGTTAAATAACACAAATGTATCTAATCCCATTTTATTAACCAATATCTTTGATGATCCAGTTCAACTGTACTAATAAGCAAAAATGCCTTTAGAGAAACTAACAAGTGTGCTTTGTTTTTTTATTGCTGAAGAGTGTTTCTTCTCCTGCGTTCTACTGCACAGACGTGAATTTACTTGTGCTTCAGCCTGAGGTTTATTCATTACACTTTTTAGTGTGAAAGGGCTTTTATATTTGCTTTAAATAGAACTTATTATATTAAAAACAATCAAGCCCTGCTCATTTTTAAAAAGTAACGCGAAAGTAACGCAAAAGTAATATAACTCATTACTTTCCATAAAAAGTAACTAAGTAACGTAATTAGTTACTTTTTTAGGGAGTAATGCAATACTGTAATGCATTACTTTTAACAGTAACTTTCCCCAACACTGTGTATATATATATGTATGTATTTATGTATTTTAGCTAGTTGCCATGGCAACATTTCTCATTTTCATTTAGCTTAACAGGATGTACTAAAATAACTAAAAGTTAAATAATAAATCATGAAAACTATAGACATATATAAAGAAAAGTAAACCCAATAAAAATAATAAACACACAGCAAAATTACTAAAACTTTAACTAAAATTAGAATAAAAATGGAAAACAAAAATAAAATGAAAATGTTTTATTGAAAATATTAATAAAAACTATTAATATTATGTTATAATAGTACTAAAATAACACTGGTATTAAATCATAAATCACAGAATTTCATAAAACTGAGAATTTCCAGAAATTAAAAAAAAATGTATGAGTTTCTGGGGGGAAAATAAAGAAAAGAAAAAAAGATAACAGAAATAAACATTTCATATTATTCAAATTATGTTTTTGTTAAAATTATTCAATTGATGAGACACCCTTTTTGAGTATTAAAATTAAATCAAACGATTAATACAGATTGCAGAAAAGGTTAAATGGAAAACACTGAATTTGAGAAAAAAGTAATAAAATGGTTTTCATGGGTCTTATGTATATAAAATGCAAAATACTGGAATAAACATTTATGATACATTATCCCGATTCAGAAGTTAGTTGTGGACTCTCCATGAATCCATGAATAAGTGATGGGGACTGGGGCGGAAGCAATCGTCCCTTGGGCTTCGACAGACAGATTTAGGAATAGAAGCACAGAGAGAGAGAGTTTAGAGCGTCCCCGCTGAACATACGCTGTTTCAGGGGTCAAACTGACGTCATCAAACTTCTCACACTTCTGCCAGCTCATAAAGGTGAAGAGCGTTATGACACAACCGGTTACGCCACGGGCATCATGAGAGCGAGAGAGGTTTCTCCTCTGGATAGACTGTGATTAAAGCAGAACTGGTCATTACATTAAACATCAGCAGGTGCATCTGTCAGAGATCATCTGGAGGCTCACAACTCATTAAGACAAGAGTTTACACTGAGTTATTTTCCATTCACTGAAAGTAAACGGGGACAGATGCCATTCTCCTCCAAAAAAGTATTATAAAAAGTTTATTTGACTTGTGCACTATATATTTATTATACTGTATATTAAATAATTATGTTCTCTTAAATTGTATTCCACTTGCTGTGTTTCGATTGGTTACAAGACACATGAGAACCAATTACTTTTGGTGTCACTGACAGGTTTGGAAAGACCTGAGAGTGTGTAAATGAAAAGGAAACCAAATTAACCTAATTGGATCCCTTCAGTTAAATACACATACAATTTAGTATGCATGAAATGACGTTGTGGCGGATAGACTTCCACTGAACTGTGTGCTGTGATCCTGGACACTTCGTGTCGTCTTAGAGGAATAGTTCACACAAAAATTAAAATGTGCTCAATTTACTCACCTTCAGGCCATCTGAGATGTAGATGAGTTGGTTTCTTCATCAGATTTGGAGAAATGTAGCATTGCATCAGTGTCTCAGCAATGGATGCTCTGCAGTGAATGGGTGCCGTTGTGTCGTCTTAGAGGAATAGTTCACACAAAAATTAAAATGTGCTCAATTTACTCACCTTCAGGCCATCTGAGATGTAGATGAGTTGGTTTCTTCATCAGATTTGGAGAAATGTGTCATTGCAGCACTGTCTCAGCAATGGATGCTCTGCAGTGAATGGGTGCCGTCAGAATGAGAGTCCAAACAGCTGATAAAAGCATCACAATAATCCACAGCACTCCAGTCCATCAGTTAACATCTGGAGAAGACAAAAGCTGAGACAAATCCAGCATTAAGACGTTTTTAACTAAAATACGAGTCCATAATCCATAATAACGCTTCCTCCAGTGAGTCAGTGTTCTGGTGTGAATCAGGAGAGAAATCTGCACAGATCAAGCAGCGTTTAAACAGCTCTAAACAAATATGTGGCTGGATTTTGATGTGAGAGACAACAGCAGATGCACTCAATATCATAAATCATCAAAAGCAATGTCTGTGTTTCAGAACAGCCTTGCTTGTTTCAACACCTATCGTGGTGTAATCTTTCAGATCTTTCATGTCCTGTTCAGCATTAGAAACACGCACTCATGCCGTCCTGCTCAAAACAGACCTGTTGACGTGGGAAGTGAGCCTTATCCTCTTCCTCATTAGTGCATCATGGGGGATTTAGCAATTTCATTTGAGACTTTGGCCTCTGGCTAGCAGTGTTTAATTGTCCTGAGCGCTGTAAACCTGCAGCGGGGCATCGGGTCACGGCCGCAGGACAGCTTTAGAGTGTGTGCTGAAACCGCATTAGAATATGAGCAGGTTTGTTTGTCAGAGACACAGCAGGTACAGACGTGGGTGAGCGCCGTTTCTGTGTCTCTGTAGCCTTGATTCTCAACATATGTTTGCCCGCAAGAAGTGTGACCCAAACACATGCCACAAACTCTCATCTGTTTCAGAATATCACTGTGATGAATGATTATTGTGTGAATGAGAAAGTGCAACACAGATGCAGAAAGGGCTGCAGACAAAAGCAGAATGGATGGATGGATGAACCGATGGATAGATAAATGAATGGATACTTGGATGGATAGAAGCATGGATGATGGATGGATGATGGATGAATGATAAAAGGATAGATGAATAGTTTGATGATGAATGGATGGATAGATGGATGATGGATGGATGGATGATAAAAGGATAGATGAATAATTCAATGATGGATGGATGGATGAATGTCTGAATAGATGGATGGATGATAAAAGGATGGATGGATGATGGATGATGAATGGATGATAGATAGATGGATGATGGATGGATGATGGATGAAAGGCTAGATTCAACATTGATGATATAAATACATTTATGTATGTATGGATGGATTTTGCAGATTAGGGTGGAAGAATGCTTAATTTCCCAGAATTCATCATCTGAATTTCATGTAACTTAGTAAGTTGATTTTCCTGTTGTTCTCATTCCAGTTCAGCTTCCTGTGTGTTGTGTCTGATTCAGTTCAAGTTCTGAGTCATGATCTGAACTAGAGCAGAGCTGATTGTTGAGTTGAGAGTTGTTTTTCGTGTGTGCTGTGACCTGAGCCTCCTGTGAAGTATTACTTACGCTAAACGTCTCTTAATTACAGTCGTCTCTCTGACCCGCGGGAACAGAACCGAGCAAACAGAGCTGGATAGAGTTGCGTTTCTCAGTCCTGCAGCTGTTCTGAAACTCTCACAGCTCGCTGTGCTCTCTCGGGTCCTTTGATGTTCTCAGGCTTTGTACAGGAGCGTTGAATCACTTACACTAAAGTCAAACCCGATCCTCCGGAATAACAGACTGGAGCAGAGAGTTTACTGTAGCGCTCTGATCTCTGAACCACTTCCTGTAATTGTGTCAGTCGGTCTCACCAATCCTGGTTCTTCATCCCAAAAGAAAGTATATATATATATCTATACAGTAGTTTCACTATTTATTTATTTATTTATTTTTAGGATTTAAGATTTTTTTAAATATATATATTTTCATGACGTTTCCTCCCAAAACATTGAAAAATAAAAAAACATTGTCGTTACTTTAATGTGTAAAAAATATATTAAAATTAAACATATTTTAAAAATGTGTTTATACATCAAGATAGTATTGCTGGTTTTTATTCATGCTGAGGTTATGCTGACCAGAGTTTCCTGAATGTAATAGAATTGACAGAATAATTAATGAATAAAAAATAAAGAATTGAACTAACTGAATTAAAATGAGGTAACATTTTTATTGTACTTTTTTATTGTATGATGTAATGAACGTTTTATATGTATATCATTTATGAATTTACTTTGTTATATGAATTATACATATTATATTACATAAACATAATTGTGCTGTCAAATTAATCGCATCCATAAATATATGTTATTTTAGTAGTAATTATATACTATTATATATTGCTTAATATTTTGAATGAGCTATTATTCGTAAATTAGTACTTCGAATGATGTATTTCTAATTTTCACTTAAGTTTATGTTTAGGTTTTTCATCTAATATTTAGATTTGATCTAATTATCTAATAGTTTTGTTATTTTAATTATTCAGTTTATTTCAGTGTTATTTCAGAATTAATTGTATTCTATTATATATTTCGTAATATTTTGAATTAGCTTTTATGTTCCTATTTTGTTTTAATGTTAGTAATTTTATATTTTTGCCATTTTTATTACTTAAATATTAGGAAAACATTTCTATACAGCTTTGATTGGTGTTTATTTCAATTTTAGTAATTTTAGTAAAACTCAACTTTACTTTATTATAAAGTTTTTATGTCATTTTTATAGTTTTATGTTTTATTTTGTATTTTATATATTTTATTTAAGAATGATTTCAATTTCCAAAAACCATTTATAACAGGTTTATTTTTTCATTAACAATAGCAACTCTGGTTTATTTATCGACTGACGGGTTTTGTGTTTATCTTTTCTGCATCTTCACAGTTCATCGCAGCCAATGATAAACTGTGGTTCTGGCTGGAGGTGAATTCAGTGGTGGATTTCTTCACCGTCCCGCCCGTGTTTGTGTCCGTGTATCTGAACAGGAGCTGGCTGGGTAAAGCACTCTCCCATTACTGACACTTTACCTTTAATACCTGATTATTTCATCAGATTATGTCAGAAATGTAATACCCACAGGCAGATATTATTAGATAAAGGTCTGCAGCGCCACCTGCTGGACATTAAACGCATTAGCCTTAATCTGTCAGTAAACACAATCTGTAACACAATCCATTGCAGCAAATCCGTTTATTCAGCAGCTCGCTGGGATTCGTGTGTGTGTCCAGAACATATTCATCCTGGTTCGGAGTGTGTTTACGGCAGTTTAAAAGGTTACAAGTAATTCCGTCCCTTGTTAAACATCAAAGACAAGACTAGTTTCTTGTTGCCGGCAGCTGTAGAATGGTTGCTTAGCGACCGCATCGTAACATTCTAAACACCGTTCAAAAACTGTGACATTGTATCGGTGAGTTCTGCACATGCAAACCCACTCAGATGATCTTCAGAAGATGCTGGAACCTCCTAATCCGTGTTTCTTGGCACATCAGACATCTGTAGTTTGAATAATTGATGACTGTAGAATCGCTCTGGCTCTGGATCTGCTGGCGATGTTAAACAGGCTTTCTGTCGGCCTCCGTGTGCGTCCCAGGACGATTCCTAAAGGAGCTTATACTGTAATATCCTGATGAAAAGGGTTTGCTCTAAGCTTTCACTACATGCTTACATGATCACAACTGGGATGCAGTTTTTTCCGGTGGGCTTCGGTGCATTTCGACCACCTCTCTTCTCAGAGTGAGACGGAGCTTCTTTCCTGCCGATTCGACGCTGTAAATTGGGAGCATTTTTATCAGAGTCGTCGTCATGATCCCGACTAAGATGTTGGTGTACCGGAGCCCAGACGGGGCCACGCGCACCGAGGCCCTGCTGAACACACGCAGACGCAAGAAGTCCTGCGGCGAGCTCTTTCACAACGGCTACCGTGTGAAGATGCTCCACGCGCCCGTCTGTGAGAAAGAGGAGCGTGACGACTCTCAGCACACGCTCTCCTCGTGTTTCCATGCCGTCTCGTACTGGGGTAAGAACTGATGCTGGAATCCGCACGGATTGATGGATGTTTCCCGACCGTTCGTCCAAGAACAAGGAGGCAGCATTAAGCAGCTTTACAGAGGTTTCCTCTGGTGTTTGGAGAAAGTTGCTTAGTTTTCATTTGGCAGTGATTCTTGAGACATGGGACAAAACAAAACGCTAAAAATAACATTTCCACTTTGAAAATAATCAGAGATTAATTTAGTCCCATTGCAATAAATTCAATACGACATTTGTCAATATTTGTAATAATTTAATTTCTGATACAGAATCTATGAACATGTTTAATAAAATAATCTAAATAATAATAAAAAAATATTATTATTATTACTAATAATTAATGTAAAATAATTAATTGTTGCATTCATTTCTTCCATTTTTGTGACCTTTTGTCCCAGATCTCAAGAACCAGTTTTATTTTAAGCTGATGTGTGTTTAATCATAGCTTATGTGCTTATCTTCGGAAGACTCTGAACATCATTTTAACCTTTTAATCATTCGTTAAGGTCATTCAAAGTCAGTATTCCACTTGAAATGCATAAAAACAAGCCACAAGCTAAGGAGCAAAGGGAGATCCCTTTTCTCATGTGCATGCATTTGTTGTGCTTCAAGCGAAAGTCAAGTGCATTACATTATGGGATGCAATATTACATGCAGTAGGCTTTGTTGTTGTATATTGCACATGTTGGCAGGTGTTTCATGCACACTGTGTCTAATATGCATACTATAGTCTGTCCTGCAGAAATAATGCAAGCAGTACTATTGAGAACACCGTTTAGTGTCTGTCTTTTTCTGGAAAGTGGACTGTACGATGTTGAGCAATGAAAAATCAATGATTGAATGTGAATGAGTAGATCGCTCTGCTGTATGATGATATTTGTGTGAATCTGTCATGCATTTGTGTGTGTATGTGTGTGTGTGTGTTCATAATAAGCAAGGTCACCTCATTGTAGTCACATGTTTTTCTCTCTGAGGTTTTTTTTTTTTTTTTGTGGTAAAGCTTCTGAAACCAGCACTCAAATTTAGGCCTTTACGTCATGAGTGTTGAGCCGACTGTCTGTCGAGAGACAAATAAACTCCATCCAGATGTGTTCAGTCCAGTGCTGCGGCTCTCATCTTTTGGCACTTTCAAAGACTGATATTTGAATATTTCCTGCAATATTTTGAGGTTTTTATTTTTTGTAGCTGCGGTTAGTTTGTATTGTTAGCTGTGTTTTTACGGGCTGATGAAATCAGTGTCATTGTTAACCATGGACGAACACTTCAAAGGTACGAGCTGAACTCGATTCTCTGTGTTTTAATGTGTGTTATGGTGTTCTGCGTCTCGATGTTGTTTCATGAGAGTCTTAAGTGTGTTTCTTACTTGCTTCTGCTCTTTCACGCAGGATTGAGGTTCTTAAGAGCCTTGAGGCTGATCCAGTTTTCAGAAATATTACAGTTTTTAAATATCTTAAAAACAAGGTAAGAATGCCTTTATGTGTGGCATGTGATTTCTGCACTCGTGTCAAAAAAGTTGTGTATAATTCTTCACCTGCATGTTCTTTTGCGTTATCCTTGATCTTAAATAAAAATCATGCTTTTTTATAAATCTGATAACATTATATCATCTAGGGACACTTGCATTTGATATATTGTGCTTTGTACTTTAGAGTAGTTATTTTAAAGTGTGTACTCACCGATTATGTTTTTTTTTCCAAAACATGATTTTACAGAATAAAAAGTATGTTCATCAATTGACAACTAGTTTAACTGCAATTTAGTCTTTTATATTATATTATACACTCAAAAAAATCTGTATAAATAGGATATAAAGTACTGTATTAATATGAATACATTTACTAAAATATCTTTAAAAATGTCTTGGAAAATTACCAGTACATTCTCCTTTTTCTATTGATTCTTTTTTTTAAATGGTATAATTAATATTATTATTAAATTTAGTTATAGCCAGTATTTTGTTTCTGCCTGTGGTGCTTGAATATCTTTGACATTGTTCTCAGAAATCTGTCCGTCTCCCTGCAGCTTAGATCTAAAGCTTTAGCGCAGATGTCCAGGAGAGCTTATTGTGCAACAGAATGAATAATCTCAGTGCAATTCATTCAAATGGAGAGGTGAAATCTACTGAATAAACTGTGCCAAAACAATCTGAAATGATTTTTGGACTAAAAATGGCCAGTATTATACAAAGAACCTTTAGTCATCAGAGTTATTTCTGTTCTTTTGAAACATTTTTGTTTGTATGAGGTATGCAATATTAGTTCAAAAATGTTGATTCATGTGAGTATCAGTTGTGAGTTGATGTGAGTATTTCTAAAATTTGTTTTCATAGCAACTCCATAAAGTTGGTGAATTTGTGCTCAATCTTTATAAGCACATGGCTGACGGCAGCGGGCTTCATACATTTGGTAAGTCAATCGCATCAGGAATGAACTGGATGGTGAAAAGCTACATTTTGATGAAAGATCACGAAAACATACTTTTTCTTCTTTAGAATAATGTCCACTAATGAATCATTCACAATAACACAAAAACATGTATCGAGAAAGAGGAACAGTTCACCAAAAATAAAAATGAAAGATTGTTTCTTCATCAGGTTTGTAGAAATGTAGCATTGCATCAGTGTCTCAGCAATGGATGCTCTGCAGTGAATGGGTGCCGTCAGAAAGAGAGTCCAAACAGCTGATAAAAACATCACAATAATCCACAGCACTCCAGTCCATCAGTTAACGTCTGGAGAAGACAAAAGCTGAAACAAATCCAGCATTAAGATGTTTTAACTAAAATACATAATCCATAATATCGCTTCCTCCAGTGAAAAAGTGCATCTGCTGTTGTCTCTCACATCAAAATCCAGCCACATATGTGTTTAGAGCTGTTTAAACGCTGCTTGATCTGTGCTGATTTCTCTCCTGATTCACACCAGTACACTTTTTCACTGGAGGAAGCGTTATTATGGATTATAGACTCGTATGAGTGTGAGTGCTGTGGATTAATTGTGGATTATTGTGATGTTTTTATCAGCTGTTTGGACTCTCAATCTGACGGCACCCATTCACTGCAGAGCACAGTGATGCAATGCTACATTTCTCCAAATCTGATGAAGAAACAAACTCATCTACTTTTTTGGTGGTCTGAGAGTGCGCACATTTCATTTTGGGGTGAACTATTCCTTAGGATGAGTTTTGCTTTCATGTTGACAAAGTAAAGCTTAAGTAGAAATACTGAGCCTGTTGGTGTGTTTTCAGGTGGAAAACTCAGGGGATCCTTGGGAAAACTTCCAAAATTCCCAACCGCTTTCCTACTGGGAGTGTGTGTACTTACTCATGGTAACCATGTCCACAGTGGGTTATGGAGATGTTTGTGCTAAAACAACCCTCGGACGCCTTTTCATGGTCTTCTTCATTCTCGGAGGATTGGTAAAAAGCCTAAATAAATAGAAGCAATCCCATAATAATTCACCCACAGCCTGCATTTCTGCCTCCAATTATCAGGTCCCTAATCATTGTATCCTTGACAACCAGAGCTGGAAAACGAACCCTTCATTTGGCTACAATCCCATCCAAACGTTCCCAGCTTCTGCTCGTCATGATGGAAAGATCTTCATGTGTTTCTGCTTGTACTGCATTGCGTGTTTTGGTTCTTAAGCAATTTATTTAAGTATTTCTATATTTCATATGCTATATTTGTTGATTTCATGTGATTTCAAGTGGAACCATCATTAGGGAGTACAAAGTTATTCTGTTTGTAGAAATCATGACTGACTGCGGTTTTAGATGACCCGACCCAATTTACCCCACCCCAACTCCAACAAACTCTATGAAGGGTTGAGATATGAGATACACTCCGTCACGATGCCAGCATACATCATACATACATGACTGTCTCAAATTAAAGTGGTATTTAAAGAAATATATTGTTAAAATAATTGTAGAAATAAATACAAATATTTATAGAAATTAATATGAAAAAATTCTAATATTTTGTAAATATTAAAACTAACATTAGATAGAAAGTTTGTAAAGACAGATATATTTTGGTATTAATTGTAGTATGTATTGCAAAGCTTTTATAAAAACATTAAGGACACATTAGTGCACAGATCTTTACATTTTTTCATTTCTTTTCAATCTTTATTTAATTTATTATTTAATAATTAATTTTATATTTACATTTGAATTACTATTAATAATTTATATACATTTTATACAATAAATATAATTATATTCATTTCCAAAATTATTTTTTAAATTGTAAAGATATTAAAATTAACGTTTTATTATCAATAAAGTTTGTAAAGATAAATAGATTTTGCTATTAATTGTATACAATTATTTTATGTGGAATTATTTTTTAGAAAAGCGTTATATGTTACGTATATATATATATAAAAATTCTACATAAAATAAATTAAGGACACATTAGTGCACAGATTCTTCCAATTTGCCATATTTATGATTCATTTATTCATTTTAATACCAACAAAAGTGTTAATGAAAGACAATTCACTGCTTATCTGAAAGTTTTTAATGACCAGCTTATTGCCATGCTTGTTTTCATATAAATAAAATAATAAATTATTAATATTAAAATATTATTTCATAAAAAATATTATGAATTATTAAAATAGAATTATATAAATATATTTAAACAATTATAGTCGTATTAATAAAATATTATCATTTGTAAATATATTACAATTAATGTTCATCATTTTTCATAAAGTTTGTAATGAAATATATTTTGCTGTTAATTGTAGTATGTATTGTAATGCTTGAGATCTGAGGCAGTTTTATGAACTCCTGTAATAATGCAAATGATGTAAAAGGTACAGTGCAGCAGTGTTACAGGTGACAGTCGTGCTCATATCAGCCCGGCGTAAGAGTTTGTTTGGACTAAACATGGCTCTTGAGGTTTCCTCCTTTACTTCACCGTTTTCCCTCTTAAACGGCAGATCGAATCTCATCTGTGGCTTTTCTTCTCTTCAACACCGATATCCCTTCAAACAGGGATATTTGTCAAACAGAATGCTTTTACTTTTATCCTAAAAGCTTCCAGCCTCTAAATTCTGGGCAATGCATGTACACAAGCATTCTGACGCTCACTGTCTGCATTTGAAAGCTCCAGTATTTAACACTTAAAGGGATAGTGTGTGCAGAAATGATCGTTCTGTCATCGTTTGCTCAGCCTCGTGTCGTTTCTTTCTTCGGTGGAACTCGAAAGGTCTACTTTTCCATATAATGAAAGCGAATGGGGACCAAAGTTACAGTTCATATGACTTATTCTTCAGACAAGCGATCATATGACTTCAGAAGTCACATTTATTTCTATAGCACTTTATACGGTACAGAAATTAATTGTATACAATTATTTTATGTGGAATTATTTTTTAGAAAAGCGTTACATATATGTAACGCTTATATATATATATATATATATATAAAAATTCTACATAAAATAAATTAAGGACACATTAGTGCACAGATTCTTCCAATTTGCCATATTTATGATTCATTTGGTCAGTGTAATACCAACAAAAGTGTTAATGAAAGACAATTCACTGCTTATCTGAAAGTTTTTAATGACCAGCTTATTGCCATGCTTGTTTTCATATAAATAAAATAATAAATTATTAATATTAAAATATTATTTCATAAAAAATATTATGAATTATTAAAATAGAATTATATAAATATATTTAAACAATTATAGTCGTATTAATAAAATATTATCATTTGTAAATATATTACAATTAATGTTCATCATTTTTCATAAAGTTTGTAATGAAATATATTTTGCTGTTAATTGTAGTATGTATTGTAATGCTTGAGATCTGAGGCAGTTTTATGAACTCCTGTAATAATGTAAATGATGTAAAAGGTACAGTGCAGCAGTGTTACAGGTGACAGTCGTGCTCATATCAGCCCGGCGTAAGAGTTTGTTTGGACTAAACATGGCTCTTGAGGTTTCCTCCTTTACTTCACCGTTTTCCCTCTTAAACGGCAGATCGAATCTCATCTGTGGCTTTTCTTCTCTTCAACACCGATATCCCTTCAAACAGGGATATTTGTCAAACAGAATGCTTTTACTTTTATCCTAAAAGCTTCCAGCCTCTAAATTCTGGGCAATGCATGTACACAAGCATTCTGACGCTCACTGTCTGCATTTGAAAGCTCCAGTATTTAACACTTAAAGGGATAGTGTGTGCAGAAATGATCGTTCTGTCATCGTTTGCTCAGCCTCGTGTCGTTTCTTTCTTCGGTGGAACTCGAAAGGTCTACTTTTCCATATAATGAAAGCGAATGGGGACCAAAGTTACAGTTCATATGACTTATTCTTCAGACAAGCGATCATATGACTTCAGAAGTCACATTTATTTCTATAGCACTTTATACGGTACAGAAAATAAATAAATAAATAATAAAACAGAAAAATATGAGAATCAGTGATACAAACTTCAATTAAGAGACAAAAAGAGAAAATAGTGTTGTTGTTCGGTTCAAATCAGTTCACTGCTGATTCAGTTCAGTTGAGTATTAACAGATTTCATGATTCGATTCGATGTGATTTGATTCAAAGCTTGCGATTCAATTCAATTTTGATCTTGATTCAATTCGATTCGATAGTGTAAAAAATCTCTCTCAACTAATCCTGTACACTATTCAATAGTAAGGTGATTTATAAACACATTTAAATATAATTAAAATGAAATTAAATAGTAATAATTAGTTCATTATGAATAGTTGTATTTAAATAATTATAATTAAATATTAAATATAATAAAAAATGTTTTATTGATATAATTATATGTTTCTACTCCAGTTTGTTGTTGAAATATAAACATTTAAACGTGTATGTCATTTTGGAATTAATTGTAGTATTTATCGCAATGCTTTTATTAAACATTTTCTACATTAAAAAAATTAAGGACACATTAATGCACACAGCATTTCAGTTTGTCCCTTTTATAATGATTAATTTTGTCAATGTAATACAAACAAAAACTGTATTTCTGAAAAACAATTCACTGCTTATCTGAGCGTTGTAAGACCGACTTATTGCCCTAAGGATTTATTTTCATATAACTAAAGAAATAAAATATTAATGTTGATACATTATTTTCATATTAATATTACATTTATATACAAATATAATTATTTAAATATATACAAATAAGAATATCCATTAATATGAGTAAAATGACTTGTATACAATACTTTATAAATAAAAATGAACATTAATTTTAATATGAATAATTTACAGTAATATTTTTATAAAACATAAAAAACACATTAGTGCACAGATCATTTCAATTCGCCACATGTATATTGATAAATCTGATTGGTGTAATACTAAAATAAATACATAACAGCTGTAAGTGTTTTTGAAATACAATTCACTGCTTATCTGAATGTTTTAAGATTAACTTATTATCCTTAAATTAATTAATACAATATTCATATATTATTTCAATATTAATTCTTCATATTGATTTTATATAAAATATAAATTATTTTTTTATATAAATGTAAATTTTTTATATTTAATTTTTTATTAACTGTTACATATACAGCCCTAATTCCGTTTAATAATGTCTAAGTTCATCAGTTATGAAAGCAAGCTCAATTCAGTTCAAGTTCTGGCTCGGCATTGTTTTTGTACATGCATCTTTTTTCACAGAAGAAAGTCAGTCATAGGGGTTTGTAATGACACGAGGGTGAGCAAACGAGGACTGAACTCTGATTTCGGCTGAACTATCGCTTCAAGGCTCTTATTTCTGATATGAAACCTCTCTTCTACTGAGGGTAGAAGCATTGGCAGACTTCTATTGTCCTGTGTCTCCTGTCTCCTCCTCCAGGCCATGTTTGCCAGCTACGTTCCTGAAATCATAGAGTTAATAGGAAACCGCAAGAAATATGGTGGTTCCTATAGTGCAGTAAATGGGAGAAAGTAAGTACCGCGGGTTGGGCTGCGCTCGCTCAGTGCGCTCGGCCCGTCTGCATGCCCGTCTCTCTCTCTGTCCCATGCATGTAGGCAATGTTTGCTCGCTACGTGCCAGAAATCGCTGCTCTCATCCTTAATCGGAAGAAATATGGAGGAAGTTATAACTCGACCCGAGGAAGAAAGTAAGTCAAAGGATCGAAGGCGCCGAACCTCTAATGAAAAGGTTCTTATTTTCCGCAGGGTCTGGCGTGGATGAGCGCGGACTCTGACCTCACAGGAAGTCGCTGCAGTGCTTCCTGTGACGTCAGAGGTGCTCCTCCACAGAAGTCGTATTATTATGAGGGTCTGGGGTCAAATGGCACAAGTCATCTCATTGCTTGTGGCGGCGTCGTGTGAGTCGCTCATCGCTTGCTGATTCGTGCTACTTGTGACACTGGGCTTCTGCGTGTGCGTGTTTTTATCGCTCAGCTGTACTTTGTACAGTTCAAAAGGTTTTATTTTTGGAAAGAAATGAGTTCTTTCATTCGGCAAGGACACATTACATTGATCAAAAGTGACAGTAAAGTCATTTATAATGTTCGAATAAATGCTGATCTTTTGAACTTTCTATTCATCTGTGAATCCTGAAAAATGAAGTGTATCACGGTTTCCACAAAAATATTGTGCAGCACAACTGTTTTCAACATTGATGATAATCAGAAATGTTTCTCGAGCAGCAAATCAGCATATTATACTGATTTCTGAAGATCATGTGACACTGAAGACTGGAGGAATGATGCTGAAAATACAGCTGCACATCACAGAAATACATTACAGTTTAACAGATATTCACATAGAAAACAGCTGTTTTAAATTGTAATAATATTTCCCAATTTTTACTGCATCTTTGATCAAATAAATGCAGCCTTGCAGATAAAAAAAAACTCAAAAGCAAAAAACTGTACCCACCCCAATCTTTTGATTATGTATATGTTTTGATTGAGCCTTTTCAAACTTTCAGGTGTACTTAAACTCTTTTTAAAAAACACTAATATAAGCCATTTTATGAGGTGTCGCACATTTTTCATAGTATATGTACAATCACAAAATTCAACTACACGTCACTGTACTGTTTTGTGTGTCAACTTATTTTAATGCTAGCTACAACAGTGTACACATCATATATGAAATATATGCTTGCATTAGTTTATAATTAATCATCAGCAGTCATTTTAATGTTCTATCCTTTTCAGACCGTCAGCTCATTGCTCAGATGCTTTGACTTTAAAGTCCCCATGAAATCAAGATTGTTTTTTTGTTGTTTAGTCTGTAGCTCAACTACAGTATATACTCATTTTAGCAGATAAAAGTATTTCAAATGTATCTTATGAGATTATCGTTATGGCTTCGGATTTTATTCAGATTTTTAGCTCATTAAATGTTGATTAATGTCTGAGTAGTGATTTTATGGGGTCTTTAACTCTAAGTGGCACTGCATTGCTGTTACTGCTTTAAACTCATTCGTTGTTGTTGTTTTAAGTGAACTTAAGACAAGGTTTGTTGTTGTTTCAGTATAAATCCAGTTCCTCCAGAGAAAACCCACCCAGACTCCCTTCAAACTAGCACATGCTCAGGGTTCATTTCACATGATTTCAGTCTGATTTTGTATGCTTTTAAGGCTAAATGTTGTGTTAAACGTGTGATCTGGGTGGTTTTCTCACTTGTTGATCAGCTGTGATGTTTTCTGATGAATACTCACCCGTTGCGTTTCTCAGGCATATAGTCGTCTGCGGTCACATCACGCTGGAGAGCGTCTCCAACTTCCTCAAAGACTTCCTACACAAGGACAGGGATGATGTCAATGTAGAAATAGTTTTTCTCCATAAGTAAGTACAATGTTGAAATTGAATGGAGGTTTCATCCGCACAAAAGACGTTTTGAAGAACGCTCCTGCTGCTCTGTTTTGTGGGATGAACGTCATGGTCTCACAGTGCCATTGTGTGTGTGTGTGTGTGTGTGTTTTCAGTATTTCCCCTAATCTTGAGCTGGAAGCCTTATTCAAGAGACACTTCACGCAGGTGGAGTTTTACCAGGGATCCGTCCTCAACCCTCACGATCTCGCTCGAGTCAAGGTACAGGTCTAATCTACTGTCGGCAGGCTAAAAACCGAAAAGTTGCTTTGACAAATTAGTGGGAAAAAACATGTAGAAGTGTGTAGTGAAATGTCAGAAATGTATATGATCATAAAAAAAATCATGGCAAATTCTACTGAAAAGAATCTACTGTTTTCTAGTTATGCTCTGTAAAATATTTAATCATTGTGTAGAGCAGGGTTATTATAGTAATCTAAAACCATTAAACATGTTTTCATTGCTTGAAATAAAATATACAAAAATGTGTTTTATTCCAGCTATTTGCCAAGGCAATGTTTATCATTTTTGTTTAGTTTTACTTGAAGAACTAAAACTAAATAAACTAAAGCAAAGAAAAATAACAAAAAAACATTAGACGTGTTTAAAGAAAACAAAAACAAATAAAAATGACAAACACACACAGCAGAATTACTTAAACTTTAATGAAAGTTAAGATGAAAACAAAATGTAAAAATTATATCTCATTCATAAAATTAACAAAAACTATAATAGTATATTAATGATACTAAAATAACAGTTAAACATTAAAAATAAATAAAAATAACAAAACAAAAAAATGCAAAATTAAAATTGAAGTGAATACAGAAAATATAAAAATATTTAATTTGAAACAGAATAAAAAAAAAAAAAGTTATCATAGTTTATCCAGGATCCTAAAAGAACTTTTTTGTGTGCCATAAGTCTTTTTAACTGGTTCACTAATTGGTCTGAATGATTTGCTAGCAATTTGACTGGTGTGGAAAATTTGTATGGCGTAATAAACAACTGAGTTCAGTGCACAAAAATATGGGAACCCTGCAAAAAGTGATTTTTTAATTTATTTTTGGCCCATTTATTTACATCCTGTAAAGCTTAATCACGTTTTAAATTAGATCTGTTGTTTAAACCCATTTTTCTAGATTGAGTCTGCCGATGCCTGTCTGATCTTAGCCAATAAATATTGTGCAGATCCTGATGCTGAAGATGCATCCAATATCATGAGGTGAGACAGGAGCCCCCCCCCCCCCCCCCCCAAAAAAAAAACCAAAATACTAAATAAGAATTTGTGCATTATACTCAAAAAAACTACTTTTGATGTGTTTTTTTCTAGGGTGATATCCATTAAAAACTACCATCCAAAGATCCGAATCATTACACAGATGCTGCAGTACCACAATAAGGTGAGCGTTTCCATGCCATTACAAGTTTATAGCCAGAATGTTGTTTTTCATGACCATTTTCCCTTTTCATGATCTTTAGAATTAAAGGGTTAGTTCACCCAAAAATGAAAATTCTGTCATTAATTACTCACCCTCATGTCGTTCCAAACCCATAAGTCCTTCGTTCATCTTCAGAACACAAATTAAGATATTTTTGATGGAATCTGAGAGCTCTCTGACTCCGCGTAGACAGCAAGGGGCCTTCCACCATCAACGCACAGAAACGTAGCAAGGAGATCTGTAAAACATTCCATGTGACTTCAGGGGTTCAACCGTAATATTACGAAAAAGCAACTTTTGATGTGTGTTTTTCTAGGGTGATATCCATTAAAAACTACCATCCAAAGATCCGAATCATTACACAGATGCTGCAGTACCACAATAAGGTGAGAGTTTCCATGCCATTATAAGTTTATTGTACCGAAAACAGCCAGAATGTTGTTTTTCATGACCATTTTCCCTTTTCATGATCTTTAGAATTAAAGGGATAGTTCACCCAAAAATGAAGATTCTGTCATTAATTACTCACCCTTGTGTCGTTCCAAACCCATAAGACCTTCGTTCATCTTCAGAACACAAATTAAGATATTTTTGATGGAATCTGAGAGCTCTCTGACCCTGCGTAGACAGCAAGGGTCCTTCCACCATCAACGCACAGAAACATAGCAAGGAGATCTGTAAAATAGTCCATGTGACTTCAGGGGTTCAACCGTAATATTACGAAGCTACGAGAATACTTTTTATGCGCAAAGTAAACAATAATAACATAATTTATTCAACAATTATTGTCTCCGATTTACCGTCTTCCGACTTTTTGGAGAGTACCCCAGAACGAAATGGAAATGATTACGTTGATTACATTCTGGGGTACTCTCCAAAATTCAAACTAAGAATCACAAGCTGTTTGGTATCGATAAATGTTCTGGATGAACTAAAGAGGGAATTCTGAGTTGTCACGTTGTACTTCAAAATCTTGTTTCAAACAGTTAGGAGGCCTTTAATGCATGCACTTTCTGTCCTCGTCTTCTCCAGGCTCATCTTCTCAACATCCCGAGCTGGAACTGGAAGGAGGGCGATGACGCCATCTGCCTCGCCGAGCTGAAGCTGGGCTTCATCGCTCAGAGCTGCCTGGCACAGGGTCTGTCCACCATGCTGGCTAACCTCTTCTCCATGAGGTCCTACATCAAGGTCAGTTCTCATCCTGGAGCAAACGGTGTCACCGTTTGAAACCTGAGCTTGAAACTCATAACTTACTTCTGTTTAGATTGAAGAAGACACATGGCAGAAGTATTATTTAGAGGGAGTAGCCAATGAAATGTACACGGAGTATCTGTCCAGTGCCTTCGTGGGTTTGTCTTTCCCCACCATTTGTGAGTAAGTATGATGAGTGCGGTTACTTTGACCATTTTATAGTTCTCATCCTGGAGCAAACGGTGTCACCGTTTGAAACCTGAGCTTGAAACTCACAACTTACTTCTGTTTAGATTGAAGAAGACACATGGCAGAAGTATTATTTAGAGGGAGTAGCCAATGAAATGTACACGGAGTATCTGTCCAGTGCCTTCGTGGGTTTGTCTTTCCCCAGCATTTGTGAGTAAGTATGATGAGTGCGGTTACTTTGACCATTTTACTTATGTTTGTATGATAGTCTTTGGGCCTAATTCATGAAACACGAGCAGAACGAATTTTTGTGTAAGCTGTTCTGACGTAAACTTTCGAATTCATGAAAATGTTCGTATTTTCAAAATGTTTGTTTGTACGAAAGAAATGTACACCTGCACCTTACCAGGTGTAAATGGTGCATAAAACGTTCTGTGTTCTTTTTGGCAAACTGATGTCACTGAATTTTGATGCACTGCCATAATAATTACATGTTGATGATAACTGTACAGTTGATAACTGTAAAACGCAGCGCTTTTTACCCAGCCGTAAATAGAGCGGCCCTACGACCAACCATCCTGCTTGTACAACAACTGCCTACAACAATGAAGAATTTAATATTACTGGTTACTGCTTTTTTATATTTAGTAAAATTCTTAAAAATGAGATATTAGTAATAAGTTGTCGCCGTGGATATTACAAATCATAAGCAACTTAAAACTTTTGACAGGTTTTCTAATTTCTTGATTATCCGAATACGTTTCTGGATATTTTGGCTGTAAAGTTGCAAGTGTAAGCAGATATAAATGAGATAAATAAATAAGGAAACAAATGTGAATTTTGCTCATCTAGTATGTGTAGTTTAGTTTTAATTGATCTTTTGTTTCTCTGTAGACTGTGCTATGTGAAGCTGAAACTCCTGCTGATCGCGATCGAGTATAAATCAGACCAGAGAGAAAGCAGGTCAGTCTGATCTTCATTAAAAACATTCACAGTCCTAAAAGATCCAGATCCAGTGACAGCAATATATATTTCTTTAATTAGCATGCTCTCGACTCAAATGCAGTGTTATTTTAGTATCATTGATGCACTATTATAGTTTTTGTTAGCATTTTAAATTAGATTGTATGTTTGTTGTTTTAATTTTAATTTTAGTTAAATTTGTTGTGATTTTGTTGTGCATTTTTGTCTTGCACGTTATTTTTTTAAATGTCTATATAATTTTTATTTTATTTGTTATAATTTTATTTTTTGTTGTTATTTTAGTGCATTAAATTAAACAAAACGAAAATGAGAAATATGTAAAGTATGACTAAAAGTTTTAAAAACATTTTTTATTTTATTTCCGTTGTTTGTTATTTCAGAAACTTTGTCAGACTAGTATTTGCCATCTAAAAAGTTTTTTTATTATTATTTATTTTACTTCAGTAAATGTTCGTTTTATTTCAAGTAACAAAAATGTTTTTTATGGTTTTAGTTTGAGTGTTAATTAACGATAATAACCCTGCTGAAATGATTAGCGTGCTCTTTATCCTGCATTTAGGGGCTTGTCTGACTTCGCTGCTGTTTGTGTTTGTTTCACACAGGGGTGGAAAATGGTATGAAATTATAAGGTTTCATTTGGTGTGGTCACGTCATACCAAATTCTCTTGAAAATTTACTTGCCATATTTCCCTGAAACGTTTCTGAATGTTTTAGGGTCTTTATGCGCTTGGTTAAAAGTCAAGACAATATTGTAAATGGCTTTTAGTCAAGGCAGCAAATTATATGTGTAGATTTTCAAGGGATACTGTCGTTCAGTTTCTGTACTTCTGTTCGAGCTGTGTGTGTAAACTGTAATGTGGCACTGAAAACAGTGGTGACGTATCTGCCACTGCCCTTCTGAACATGTTTAATGCTTTTACTGTCAACAAATCTGTTCTTTTCTGTAGTGACACAATTATGAAATTAAGCATGCTGAACGTTTTAGAGATAGTCCATGCAAAAATGATGCAAAAATGAAACGTCTGTGATCATTTACTCACTCTCATGTCATTCTAAACCTGTATGACTTTCTTCCGTGGAACATAAAAAGGAATGCATGTGACAGCATGTGACTGATCGTGATGCAGCTTGAAAAACTTAATCATGAATGAAATTTGAGATTTGCAGCAGAAGGGAAAATCAGTAAACTGCTTATTATACAAAACCATCGTATATTTAAGGCATTATGCTACAAATCTCCTTTAATGTTCCATGGAAGAAGAAAAGTCACGTGTCTCGAATGGCATGAGAGTGGAAATAATGACAGATATGCCATTTTTGGGTGAACTATTCCATGCTTGCATGTCTGTAAACCAAGTAAACTAATACTCTATGTTTGCATGCAAATGTCATCCTGAAATGTATAAAATAGATTATTTTAGTTCAGACATAACAATAACCAATCACAACAAACGGATACAAAGAGTAGTCTTATTAAATTAAATTAAAAAAATGTATTTTAGTAAATGCATGTCGTCATTAACATTCAAATGGAACGTTATGCTTCTTTTTGTATTCTGGGTGATTTTGACATTACTGTACAAAATCTTTATCTAATGTCTCTTTTGGGCCATTTTTTTTCTTCATTAGAATTTCTTCTTTCAATGATTGATAGTATACACAGATTTTGGTTAAGTTTTAAACGTGTTTTCACTTTGTGGCATGAGCTGTCCTGTCTTCATAAGTGCAGAAATGATAATTTAAAGGGAGGTTTTTCTGAAAACATTCTGTGGTTTGTGAGTGTTGTTTGTATTTTACAGCACGCTGATTAACCCGGGCAATCATGTGAAGATGCAGGAGGGAACACTGGGCTTCTTCATCGCCAGTGATGCCAAAGAGGTGAAGAGGTGAGGAGTTGATGTGTTTTTTTTTTTACATATCCAGCTATAGATTCATATGCTGTGCGAATGGTTTGAATAAGATTGCCTTTTTCCATTAGGGCACTTTTCTACTGTAAAGCTTGTCACGATGACATTACAGACCCAAAACGGATCAAGAAGTGCGGATGCAAACGGAGTAAGTTACCATGAGAATATTTATTAATAATTGTCTTACTTTCACTTTTTATTTTTATATGAATAATTTTTATATGTAGATTATTTTCTATATATAATCATATTTATAGGTAGATTTTATTAGGTTTATTAGATTTTATTAGGTGCATTTTATATCACTTTCATTTTACCAAATATGAAAATGTATTTTTTTGATTATAACATTTCTTAAAATATTTAATCAGGTAGACTCTGTTGTGGGATCAGGAATCATCAAACTGGATTTGTTGTGAGGTTTTTACATTGCACTTTACCAAAATTTTCCCCACAGCTGGAAAATAATGATTTAGATATAAATCTTTCATGTGTGGAGGAGTTTGTCAATGACGTCTCTACTGAGGCTGTTTTATCGATATGACTGCACTGCCTGGCCACATTATCAAACTTTTTGGATTTTACCTCCACCTGATACTTTTAAAATACATCAAAAACATTTAGTTAGTAATTTACACATTTCACATTTTCCCTTTTTCTCGCTGACCTGGATCTGTGATCATTTCCCCCACTCTCTGATAGTGTTGTATTGTGAGTAATGACTGTAGCCTGCTGCATGTGTGAATGTAAAACTACATCTTCCATCAACCCACTGTCCTCCACCGCATCATCAGCAGGAGACAGCTTGAATTTTTGCTGTTCTAACAAGCTCCTAACAGCACTTGGGCTTTTCTGAGAATTATTCTGTTTTGAGTTTAGATATCACCTCATATGTTTGTAATATTTAAGAATATAATTTTGTGTAATTTATGAGGTAAAATGTTGTGGTTTGCATAATTTAAGGGTTATAAAATGCTCTTTTATATTTTATATACCATGGCAGGACATGTTACAGTGAGCTCCTGATATCTTTTCTCATTCATCTCCATGCATTTACATGCTTTACTCGCATCTCTAAAATACAGTATTCCCAAGAATATAAAAAATAATTAAAACAGCATTGGAACCACTTGAACTGATGTCTTGTTGTTGAAAAATACAACAGATTTTACTCTGTAACAGAATTATATATTACTTGATAACAAACATGTTTTTCTGAAGGTGTTCCTCAGGGCTCTATACTTGGCCCGCTGTAGTTTCTGGATGTCCAGCTTCTGTTAGTGAAATAATGCTCCCATCCATTAATATGCTTCTCCTCCTCCTCTCCCCTCATCCGCCCCATGACCCCAGCCAAGAAGTCCGCCTACAAGAGAATGCATCTGGCATGTTGTGTAGCTTGCGGTGGGGCAGAACGTGGCTGCTTGTGCATGTCAGACAGTGTGGCTAGTAACATGGAGGTTCTGCACCGTGGCTTCCCCTTCTCTCCTGTGTCTCTGTATGATAACACGACCACTTTATGCTCCTGTAAGTGAACGCCTTCCCTGTGGCACCCATGCTGAGTGCCCGTGTATTCATCTGTGCCCGCTACCTGTGTATGTGCCATCTGGCTGGTGCAGTGCCATGTAATGGTGGCATCTGATGTGGTGAAGACTGCTGTAAGCCCATGGATGTATCTGTGTGGTAGACTTGGTCTCCTGCATGCTGTTTGTGTGAATTGTATTGATGCAGTTTAGTAGTTTAGTTTTGTAATTCATTGAATCGTCATTGTAATGTTTTATTTTACATTCGGCTATGTACTGTGGTCTTTATCTGAACATGTCCTTTAAGCGTAGTTTGTGCTGTGTTTTATGCTAATAATCTAGATGTTGGGTATGGTGACTGACATTACTAACACTTTTTAGGAAAATGGCTATACTGTATAGTAGAATTATACAGTGTATGTTGTAAATACACATAGTATATATGTCTTTTGTATTGGAGGTTTAGAGCGTAGATATGTAAAAGCTTATACCAGCCTAAGGTAATTAGCTGGTGTCCCAGCCTGGCCATGCTGGTTAGATTGGTCTAATTTGATGGTTTTGGGTCAGCTGATCAGGCTAGGAGACTAGTTAAGTTTTTGCGCTAACTGGGTAGTTGAAGATAGTCAGTTCTAGATTAAAAAAATAAGCTATTTATTTTCATTTTCTTTCTCACTGGTTGATAATTTCATTGCTTCATGTGTCTCACTTTGACTTCTTTTTGTATTTGCATTTTCTCAGCTAAAAGTAACTATAATGGATACATCAAATCAAGTAAGTCTTTTCCCCATTATTACTCATTTGTTTCTTAACCGTCTGCTGTTTCTTAGTCACTCTTCTCTTCATTCTCGTCATTCTTCTCTTCATGTCCTGCTCATCCAAATATTTTATGCGATTTGGTCTGATGTATATGTGCAAATTGAGATGCTGACTAGGTGTGGATTATATACAGTTGCCTCAAAAAAGTATTTGGACAACTAAGACATAAATAAATATGTAATTGCATCAGATAATATATCAAAGCAAGTGTCATTCAAAATATAGAGAAATAACTTTTTTTGCTCGTTGGTCATTAAGAATAATAAGTGGCTGTATGAAATCAGTTTACACAGGTTGTGTCCAAATACTTTTTGCAGTCTGAATGTCACTGTGTCTGAATTTAATACAGCTCTGCAGGCACCTGCTCTCATTCAGCACTAGATGGTGCAGCTGCACTGCAGTTCTGATAATGTGGAGCTGTAACTTTCATTTCTTTTAATTGTTTTCTAAACGTGTGAAGTTTTTTTTTCTTTTTCCTTTTTGAATATGTCAGCTAATGGTGCTGTCAGCAATTTCAGTTTAGGAATATTATCCATATAATATCACTACTACCTGACAGATATCACTGAAATAATTTCCTGAGAAATTGCACCTGGCTTGGTGACTGAGGATCAATAATAAATCAATAAGTAATTAAATATTCAAAAGTTATTTTTTAAATATATGTTGTAATAAAATCAGTATTCAGAGTCAGTATTTAAAAAAACATGCACATGTTTTAGAATTTCCATTATAAAAAGATTGTAAATAAAATATAAAATAATTAATTAAAAAAACAAAAACAAAAATATTATAATACATTTTCTATATGAACAGTATTGTATCAATCATATGTTAAGGACAGTAAAAATTGGGTGATTCTCTTCATTGCCTAATTATGAATGTTTCTTGTCTGACAGTAAACGATGAGCTCAGTCCAACATTCCAGCCCCAGAATCCCAAACCCGCCCTAATGCGAGCTCAGTGCACAGTGAGAGCATCTCCTGCTGTCCCCAGCGGCCGAGTGTCAGCGCCTTTAGTAAATAACCGTAAAGGCAGTCTGCTGTCTCCGGCTGCCTTATATCTGCACAGACTCAGTCTGGCCAGCTCTAGAGAGCTGTATCAGAGCAGCAGCACCCGCCTGCATCGGGCCTGTAGTCTGCCTGCTAAATACAGATATCATTCCAGCCACGGCTCCACCTCCACCATCGGCCCGCACACGCTCTGTAAGACTCGGCCTGGCTTTGTGGGAAATGCATGCGGACTAACAGGGTTCAGAAACACTAAACAAGCTATCCTGAATTGCAATATGAAAAAAAAACATTATTTATTTATTTTTTCTAAAGAGAGAAAACAAGTGTTTTTTTTATTAAGGGAGAAAAATAATTTGATAAGAGAAAAAAAGAGCGAAAACATTTTTTGAAGAGAAAAAAAGAAGCTTTCTGAAGAGAGAAAAAATGTTTTAAGAAAAGGGGAAAAACGTTTTTTTTAAGTGAGAAAAAAAGTTTTTAAAACTTTTAAGAGAATTTTGTTTTAAAAAGCAAAATGAAAAAAAAGTTTTTTTTTTAAGAGAAAAACATTTTTTGATGAGAGAAGTTTTTTTAATTAAAAAAATATATATTATGATAGGGAAAAATGGGTATTTGTAAGAGAGAAAAGTTTTTTTGAGAGAGATAAAATCAGATACAGAAAGAGAAATAAACAATGACTCAGGAAGGATCCAAGACACAGTTTTTTCCCAGGTTTTTTTTCTTTTCTTTTTCATGTTGCAATTCGGGGCTTCCGTACTTATACTATTTATTTAATAATAAATACTATAAGCCACCCAAACAAAAACATGTGAAACAGAATTAAGATGATAAATAAAATTAATAAATATTTAATAAAACTAGTAATTATTTAAAATGTTGTCAAATGCATTTCAAAATCTATTATAAATATTTTGTTGCAATTCTAATAATTTTACCGCTTTCTGTTGAAAATAATGCTGAAGTAAAGCTGTACGTTTTTAAGAAAAAGTTAGCTGCCCATTTAAAAAAAATAATAAAATAATGCCACTAAGGTAACACTTTACTTGAAACCTTTATATATAATGCATTCATAAAAAATGAGCACAGATATAATACCAAATACTGTATATTCAATATTACACCTGTATTAGAAAGTATAATGCAGTAATTATACATGACCACCAGTTTCAGATGTAACAAGGAATCTGCAAATATTCTAATGCATTTTAACTTTGGTTACAGTTATTTATGAAAATACTGTATATAATGCATTACAATGTACATTATGCATTATACATAAAGGGTTCAAGTAAAGTTTACCACAAACAGTAGAACAATTAGTCCACTCTTTCTCTGTCCCTGTGCTTCATCCCTTCTGTATGTGTCTCACATCTGTCTGATTATGTGCTTTGGAGTGTTTTAATGGTTTGTGACTGTTGTTTGGTAACATATGTAGTTTGGTTGCGTCTCAAACTGTGGCTGGTGTTTCAGTAGTAGAGGAGGAGCAGCAGTCGGCTCTGTCGCCCAAGAAAAAACAGCGTAACGGAGGGATGAGAACGTCGCCCACATGCTCGCCCAAAATAATAAAGTAAGAGCACAACCGTCTTTCTGCAAAAATCACTTGAAGCAATGTGGCATTATTTCACTAGCATTGCTTTGTGAAAACCCTTCACATTCAGCATCTCTATCCTCTCTCATGCTCACTAAACGGGTCACACGGCCCACGGCTGCAGCCAATCAGAGGCGGCGGTCGGTCGTTCTCTCAGTGCCGTCCGCTTTTAACTCCCGCTACCTGCCTCTTATCCTGTCTGCCAGAATTACTGATCCATTTATTGATTTTGACTGATGAAAGAGCTGCTAGTGAATTAATAAAAGCCATTAATACGCAATGATGGAATGAGAATAATACCTTCTGAATGCTTTATCAGGACAGCAGGGAGGAATAATTCATATTGTATGGGCAGTAATTAATAACAAGTGGAATTTAGAAGGAAAAAATTATATATATATATATATTTCTTATGTAATCAAAGTATATAATATATAATAATACAAATATTTTATGTATATGTACTGTATATGTATGTGTATATATATATATATATATATTATATGTATAGTAATATTTAAATATACACATATATAATCACTTTAACTATATATATTTAATTATATATTATGTACCTTTATTATATAATCAAAGTATATACTATATGATAATAAAAATTGAAATTTTACATATATATATATATATATATTAGTGCTGTCAAACGATTAACCGTGATTAATCGCATCCAAAATAAAAGTTTTTGTTTG